AATACAACACGGTTAATTTATTTAAAGGGGCTGTCGTTGATCGGCTACAAAAGCTATTTAAAATTACAAAATGGCTACTACCAGTATAAAATCTATTGGCAGCAATTTCATGGTGAGCCGAGCGTTAGTAATACTATGTGACACTACGTGTATGTATGTATATATACACGGTATATATATTGAGCTTTATAAATAAAGTTAGGGTGTACAGAGGTATACCAATTTTTAATAAGAAAAATTAACGTTTAGTAACTCATTGTCTCAATCATTGGCGGGAGTGGAATCGACTCTCTTAGTGTCACTAGACCTGCTCCTGATGGTAACATCGACCTTAAAAATTAATTCAGTTTTATTAAAAGATGTATTTAACACTAGACAAGGACAGTCAATTATTCAAACCCCTATACAAACCAAATGAGAATATGCTATGCCCTTTAAAGGATTTTTCTTGGCTAACACATACTGGGCTGTTGCCAACAGGAAGACCTTTGCTCTTGAAAAAACAAACAGAGACTATAATTACGTTATAACAAAGGCTTAAAATACGGAAGTTTACAGTACTAAGATATACGAAAATACCCTACATGTTTTTTGCCTTCTATTAAACAAAAGATTACATTCCTCAGTCATTATTATCAACTTAAAAATGAAATCCGATTAAACAACATTTGGTAACAATGGTTATTTTTGGGTGTGTGTGAATATTTAAACAATTTTTAAACCAATCACTTCTTGTTTGAAAATAGATGCATTTTAAAGCTATATATAAACAATTCAAATAAAATTGTTAAGAACAATAAACCAACTTTTGTGGACACATTCAAGTTTTTGTAGCTTTAAATTATCATTGATTTTGATTAAATGTAGGGACGAACCATTCTATAAAACGTTACCTGTCATCCTTGTTTATGTGACGAGCTATCTTCGCCAACAATGAATGTATATGTGTGTGTGTGTGTTTTGTTTAAGTAACTGCGCATTTACAGTTATAAATTTTAAAAATAACCACAGTAACAGTTAAAATACATGTAATTTTTGTACTGGTATTAGTATTAACCACTGAAAAGTTTTATGAACCATAACTGTTACGATCTGATTTCACAATTACGATTCTCTCTTTTCGGTGCCATTAGTCCTAAAACAAGTGTTTTTTCAGGGGAGGGGATGATGGATTTAATTTTTGTTCTGTAGTGAGTAGCAGATTGGGACAAGCAAGTCGAAAAAGAGAGTAGAAGTCCATTAACGAGTTAGTATATTTTGTTTTATCACGTATCAAGTTGTCAATAGAACAAACAAGACATTTCTAACCCTTCTTTGGGGTATTTCATCAATTCTGTGAAGTAATTGCAACAAGATCATTCAATGTATCTCTTGTGTGTTATTTCTGATTTGATTGCTTTAAAGCAAAGATACTTATCCTTTTAATAAGTAAAATCAGTACTTCGGTCTTCATCCCAGTAGAACCTGTGGATATATTTAGTCAACGGTTACACTAGAATTTCTGGATAAATCTTGCTCAAATGTGTTCGCTTAATGCACTAGAAAGCATACAAGGTATTCCTATACTACAGTTACTTGCCTTCTCCCCCTTTCTCTTTAGTTATTTTGTTTTCAAATGCAAAATTGCACTTTTATTTATGAAGACAGAAGACTAGACCATATATTAATATAACTAATCCTAATTAGAGTCAATGGTATTTAGGACTATAGAACAGTTCCCTACTTTACCCCGTCCCTAATTTTGAACTACTGATCATAGTGGAGGCATCCAGTCAGCAGCACCCTGTAACTAACCATCTAATCCTACAGATAGACTGCCACTCTTATAAAGCATTCACAGCTTAAAGTGCAGGGAATATTTGTGATATCACACGGATTTGAAACAGGTTCGCAAACTCCAAAATCCAGAACAAGTTAAAAAGGAAAAAAAAAAGAGATAAGTGAAAAAGCTAATCTTGTGTTATAATTTATAGTATCAAAAATTCGCGTTTCCGTAATATTTGTTAGTTTAAATTCTGATGTATATTCAAAAGCATATATACTGAAATTCACCAAATTACTAACCATATATAAGTATGAAGTTTGATATGTCTATGTTACACACGTAAAAATTACTTAGTGGCATTAAATAGTAAGAGTAAATCTTACAACCACTTTAGTCTTTAGATTTTACCAACAGAAATCTTCGATAGAAAAAAAAAAGAGGTTCAAATGAACATAAAAATTTACACAAGTTTAGTCTATTTTAATGTTATAAAAATAAAAAACTTATAGACAAATTCAATCTTACCTATTCGCTTTTTGCTGTCATACTTGAAGTTAAATAGAACTTAAGGACGCAAACTTCCCAGTGAAAGTTTTGAACTTATTTTTCTGTAAAAAAAAAGTACAAATTCTTTGCGCCTGTCTTATGTTCAGTATTATACGTTCACCATTCCCCGAGCAACTGATTAATTATTTTACAGTCTCTTATTTACTAACTCCATGTAAATCGTGTGTGAATGGAAAGACTAGTTACGAGATGCGCGAATTTTGCAATTCCCACTCTCACATGCTATCGTCTGCCGTTTCGCGAGAAAACTAACATTCAAAAATCAAGCCTACACTCATGCAACTAGCAAGAGGTCCTATGCTCGCAAGCCCAGTGACATACTTCCATTTACGGGCAGGTGGCGCTCTACGTTCATAACCAAACAGGCAACCTTTTACGTAGTCGCACGCACTGCACGATTTTACCTTTTTTGTGCACAACCTGCTCCCGCTCAGTGAAATGAAAAGACGATTGGTCCAAATCCACAAGCTATGGTACATATCGCCTACATCCCTTCCGCACTAAGGATCCAATCGGTACCAGGTTAAGTTTTCTTTAACCTGTTAACATTTTGATTACAAAAAACAAGTCGTGAAAAAATAATAAAAGCTTGGAACACAGTAAATTAAACACCGATATAAACCATTTGTTCTCAAGCCAGGAAAGAAGTGATTTATTCGGAAATTATTCCTCGAAATCGTGATTTTCACATTATTTATAATCTCAGTCGAGTTATAAATTACTGGTAATTAACCAAAAAAGCTATAAAATAAATCGAAAATATGGTATTTTTGCGAAGGTAAGTTTTTATTTAAACCAAACTATTTGAACTACAGGTTTTATAAAATAAAGTACGACATACGGGGTTAAAGATAGAAACTGAAGTAAGGAAAATAAAAGTAAAGAAAAAGTTAATTTCTAAACTATCTAAAACTTATGGCATTTAAACTGTACAATCAATATGTATATTGTCATATATTTAATTTGATAATTTGAAATAATGGTGATAAATAACACTTAAACCCGAAAAACTAATTTAAAAATATTTAAACACGTAGTTTATACGTAATTTTTATTCATTTGTTATCTGTTCATTTACAATAAATTCAACAGACAATGCATTGTTTAAGAAAAAACAAAAACTAGTCGAATTTCCAATCTGACCGTCATCTTATGCATCATGTGAAATAAAAGTCCAGTTACCCCCCAAGATAAAAGTATAAACATTTCTAATTCTGAGCTGTTGACCAGAGCGAGGGAAGCATACACCACAAAGGCTTCGTCCGGCTCCTTGAACAGAGTAATGGAACTTAATGTTAGTTCTGCAGCACGTTCACAGCACTACGTTTCGAGCCCTGGACCTTCGATTCGCAGCCCGCCATGGGAACCGTTAGGCCATGCCTAGCTCTAAAATACCGAAACATCATGAAAGAAAAAAAATATATATAGAAATTCTTGGTGAAAAAAGAAATAACGTATTCATAGATATAAACGTCAATCTCTTAGAGAGCTTTCAAATGTGACTTAACCCTTAATTTCCACGAGTAAAAGGGGGCGAATATTGCCCATATTCTTGTGGAGAGATCCCGAAAGCGCTGGTGTCAAGCGCAATTTAATAGAGAAATAATAAATCTTTGAAGATACTACAAATGAAGCAAGTTTACTTCCGTATAATGAACAAACGTTAACATAAGAAAACTAGTAGCCCTCGCCCAGATCTACCAAACGATACTAAACTTCATGGCTGAAGCTTTGTACCCTAGCGATTTTGTTTGTTTGTTTTGGAATTTCGCGCAAAGCTACACGAGGGCTATCTGCGCTAGCCGTCCCTAATTTAGCAGTGTAAGACTAGAGGGAAGGCAGCTAGTCATCACCACCCACCGCCAACTCTTGGGCTACTCTTTTACCAACGAATAGTGGGATTGACCGTCACATTATAATGCCCCCACGGCTGAAAGGGCGAGCATGTTTGGTGTGACAGGGATTCGAACCCGCGACCCTCAGATTGCGAGTCGAGCGCCTTATCCACCTGGCCATGCCGGGCACGTACCCTAGCGAAATTGGCAGCCTTGTCATTCTATTCCCACTCGGTCACTACCATCATATTATCGATGGATTCAATGACATTCTTGAAATTAAAAATGTTTCAAAAGTAAGACACGTATTTTATTTATTTCCTATTTAGAAAAAACAAATGGTTAATTATTATTTTTCAACCGTTTTATGTCATGCATCAAGACACTTGATGTAATAGTTTTTAATGAAACTAGTTACTAGTTGTTACAGCCTATCCGATTATCTAACTCTAATTAATTATCTTTTTACTGATTAGTTTACACCCTACTATGCTTTGGCTGCTAATCTTCTGCCATTTTCAGAATAGTTATGAAAGGACTGCTTATGCGTTTGATTGCAGAAAGTCTGATGTGCTATCCACTCGTCAATAGAATTTGAGTAAACTAACGACCACCCAAGTCTAATTATTAATTATTATTTTAGTAGATACTAATTAGTATCCTATATATCAGTTGCTAACTTGTTAATGTCTTCAAGAAAATTCTGAGAACTGTGTGCGCGATGGTATGAAAGAAGTGTATTATCAGTTAAATTGATATAAAAGGTTCTTTAATCTTTATTTTTTCGTTCTTATTATTAATGGCCTTTACAAAGTTTGATCCATATCGCCAGAAATGGCAAAGTTGAGCAGTGGATTCTAGCTGGTTTGGCAGCAAGTTATTTTTAATAAACTGTAAACAATGAACGTTGGTTTCTTCTAAATGGTACAGTTGTGTTATGGCAAAATGTCAATACATAACCACAGCTCCACGAAGTTGGATTTTTACTGGTAGCAACTAGGTTTCCACACGAATAGAGCGTCGGGCTACATCAATTTGATGTTATGTTTTATTTTATTTTTTAATTGAAATTACATTTAACTTATGAGACACCAAATTAACTTTTTAGTAATGAATTATTCACATTTATGGAAATTTTATGTTTAACATTAAGGGATGTTAAGCCTAACAAAACATTAAAATAGGTTACATTACCCGCCATTATCCAAGTTTGATTGAACTTTGGGATCACTTTATAATTAGTATAAATTTCCTTTTATATCACTCTCTCTAATGTGTGTGTGTGTGTGAAACTATAAAAATTAAAAAAAAAATTATTGATAATAAGCTATCAAGTAAAAGTTGTTGCTGCCGACCGGCTGCCTCCCTATGGTCGGTGGTTCGGAATTGAGGACGACACAATGTTGCCTGGCTGCGCACTGACAAATGTGCAACTCTTCTAGTGTGTAAATAAATACAAATTGTAAGTTCATTTTTATTACATTTGGCACAACACTTTGGACAGTTACTCGTGTTGTTTCTGTGAAACTTAAGACAGAGTAGACAGTAGGTATGTTTGTGAACTTTAATGGACTGCAACTGCCTGTTGAAAGAAAATGAGACAACGTTTCAGCTTCTACACTGAGGCCTTCCTTCAGGTCTCCTTTTCTTTCAACAGACAGTTGCAGTCTATTAAAGTTACTAGTGTTGACAATAAACATAACCGTCTATATACAATTGGCACATTGCAACATAAAACTCCATACAAAGAAAATAAATATTTCTACATATGCACAAAAATATTAATGAAAGACAGTGATTTTAGAATATGATACATTAAATAATGTTTCTTAATTCACTGAGAAACCAACACAATAAGAAATACCAATGTGTCTAAATTCTATTTATATAAAACAAGGTTATTAATAAAAAAAATATATTTTCTTCAGACTTCTTTTTTATATAATAATGAAATTGTTATAATGTTCATAGCACTTACTACTTTTAAACCTAATGTACACCCTGAAATAAATATTGTTCAGGAGATAAAAAGACAGACTTTTAAAATTACATGTTTTAACAAATTACTGAATGTAGCCGGTAAGTGGGTTTTCATGAAAGTTAAAAATACAAGAGTTATATCAAAGTTTAATTTATCAGATCATAAAAAAATTGTAAGGTAAAAAAAGGAAATTTCTAAGAGAATGAAAAGGTTGTAAATACTTTTATATATATATTGAAAAGTATTGGTTTACATGGATTAAATAGGCCAAGCACAGCATTGGTGTCAAGATACATAATAAAACTACTGTTGCTTGTAAAAAAATACTGTACATGCCAGGCTCTTTAATGCTTCTGTTGTTGTTTGTTATCAAGCAAAAAGCTATACAAGGGGCTATCTGTGCTCTGCCCACCATGGGTATCGAAACCCAGTTTCTAGCAGTATAAGACCGCAGACATATCGCTGTGCCACAGGGGGGCCAGGCCCATTAAGGTATTTAATTTTTGATGAGACACGAGACATTTAAGTTTATCTAATGCATGACATTTACCAAGAGGTTAAATGCAATCAACACTTTAAATTGTATATGTCCGTAGCTCATATCCAACATAACAATATAATCATATTTATAATAATAAAATTTCATCTGACATAAGAATAACAAAAATGCATACTAAAATAGATGATTTAATTTACAAGGTGTGGAAGTAAAAATATAATTACAAGTAGGTCAACCAAGAATTTACTATGCTGATACAAGTGGTTTAATTTGTACCATTGAATACTTATTTAAGTACATGTTTTAAAGCTTAAAAAAAAAGAGTAACTTGTTCTTAAATGGGCAATAACAATACAGAAATTTGGTGACCAAAAAGAGTAGATTTATATGGAAAATCGTCACACTAACAGCTCAGGTCACAAAAATAAGTGTCAGAGCTCATCATCAAACTTGTGCGTATTATACAAGTGTTCTCCAAAATCTGTAGCCTCACTTCCAACAAAACTTTCATGGTGATCTAAAATTTCCTGAACTGATAATTTTCCATCTTTGTTGTCATCAGACTCCTCAATCAGGTGATCAGCTTCATTCTCTGCCACTTTACTAAGAAACAAAACTTTTTATGTAATATACCAAAAACATTACATATATTGATTGGGTTCTCTACAGATTTAACAATTGTTTTATATTATAGCTTTAAAACCAGCTAGCAAATGTTATTATGAAATCTTCAAAAATGAAAAATAGACAAACATCTTTGTATGTAAGTAAATTAATGTTTAAGTTTTCTAATATTTATACTGCTTCAAAAACATTTTTTTTTAATAAATAAAAGCAGTACTCCATGATGGAAATACAAAGGGTTTAAATGTTTCCATTGTTTGAAAATGTTTCTAATATCATCAACTAGTTAGAGCCAGATTTTAACCTCATAAACCCTTTGCTAAAACCTTATTGAAATATAAATATATATATATGTTACAGCCAAAACCTGAAATAATTAGCAAAAAACCGCAAATTTTGAGTTTTGGCCGGGCACTACTTCTAATGACCAGCTTCTACTGGTCGAAGTCTGAAATGATTGAATGAGGCTATGGTAGAAAGTATAAGGTGGAAAAAAAGTTTTTTTCATGTTAAATATATTAATTTTATTTTGGAATTATTTTACTGAAATATCTTTCATTATTACATCATTTATTGTAACATGCTAAATGTTTGTTGCACTTTGGATTACACAAAATACAAAGAAATGAAACAAGAACTTAGTCTGACTGATACACGTGGTGTTAACTCTTAATGCATGATGTGTTAGTTACCAACACCCATGCGCAAGCAAACTGTACATGCACAGAGAAACACACCATGTTAGGAAATTAATTTGGCCAGTGGATCATGGGAATTACTGATAATGGTTTGCCAATATCAAAAATAGTTGATTTCAAATATACATTTTGGGTTTTGGCTAGTTGAGTTGACCATTGTTAATAATGGCTGACTATTATCAGTACTGGCCAGTTTTGGGGTTTGGCTGTAACATGTATAAATGGTAAAGACCTAACTAAAAAACACAAAGTAACCTTTAACAAGTACATGTTAATGGTTGGTGTATAGTTTACCAACTTCTTCATACAATAAACAAGATTTACAGATATAAAAACAATATTAAAACAAAATAAACTTCAAAAACCACAAGAGAAAATTATGAAATAAAAGCATGTCATAAAATAATTGTGAAAAAACCTAAACAACTAAGTTTGTATTAAATGTGGACACTTTCCAAATGTGGAAGTATGACAGGAGTTTTTGGCCAGGAAAAACATCATAAAGATTATGCACAATTATTGAAAAGCTTGTCATAAAATAATTGTGAAAAAAACATAAACAGCTAAGTTTGTATTAAATGTGGACACTTTCCAAAGGTGGAAGTGTGACAGGAGTTTATAGCCAGGAAAAATATCATCAAGATTATGCACAATTATTTAAAAGCATGTCATGTAATTTTGAGTCATGTACTTTCAAAAATTAAGAAGTTGATAAGGAATGGGTTGTTTTTTAAAGATAAATTGGCTGTCTAGAAGATAATATTTTCTTAGTGATTATTATACATTTCATTAATTTTCCATATATCTGCTCAACCCCTTTCTCACCACAGGGGGTGTACTTGGTACACCTACTATTTCTATTTCCAGGAACCATATTGATATACTTTCATAAGTGTTTATCATAATGAATCCAATGATATATGGTTTATAGAGCCTTTTTTTCAATAAAATATACAATTAATAAACCAAATAAATAAACATTTGTTTAACAACAAGTAAAAGCTTGGAATGGTCTATCCTTTCATTGGGGTGTGTCTGTGAGCCAGACTAGTTTCGGAGAATTCCACTCCTCATCAGTGACCCTGGACACTACCACCAATGAAATATCAGACCAAACCAAGCCTTTTTGTAGTGAGGTATCAAAAATCCAAATGGTGTATTTAAGTGTTTAACACTCACAAAAACGAAACCTATCATTCTATAGGTATTTGAAGAACTTGTAACATTTAATTCTTCGTATTGTCAGCCAACACTGGGCAGCTGGTACATTACTCTTTCTTTGTTTTACTTGATTTTTTCTCCTCCTTTTTCTTCTCAATTTTTGCCCTTTTTCTTTTTTCTCCATTTCCATGACCCCAAATTTTTCCCAAGTTTCAAATTCTCAATTATACCCATACCTCTTGGATAATTATTTGGAAAAACCCTTATCCCCTGTCTACATGTAAATCAAATATGTATATAATTTCAAATATATATATTTTTCAGATCTGATAATTTTATTTAAGTAAAAATGCCATGTTAACAGCCTAACAAGTATACTAAATATACAACAATTTTGTACAAGAGTGTCTATTTGGAAGGAAAAAGTTTGGAGAACAAAAAACACTGTAGAAAGATTTTTTTTCAGCATTTCACACCTAGTTCTTAGAGCAGGTTTATTAAACTGATATCCAACTTACTTGTTATCTGGTACAAGCCATTTCAAGACTTCTGCTCGGTCAAGTTTGCCATCACGATTAACATCAAATTCATTTTCAAATCGATCTTTTTCCACAAAATAATTTTCAGATCCAACAGATGGAGGATTATTTGAGCCATCATTAAGATATTCTTCAAGAGATAAATAGCCATCTTTGCTTGTGTCTCGTTTCTCCATTGTGTGTTTGTAGAGAGTCTGAAAAAGCAAGAAAAAAACTATCAGAAATTGCATTAAATGTATGTACAACATTCATATTCTTTCTCTCAATTTAAAGATTTCAGAGTTGACAACTGCATCTGTGACCACTGAAGAAAAAAACAACAGTGCATTGTGTTGCAAGTACGCTGAATTCTAAATTACATAAACAGCAAAGGATCTGTAGATTTTGTGACAACTTCCTTATCGTGCCTTTAAGAGATACTATGACAACATTTCACGCAGCATCTTTCAGACATACAAGTTCAATGTATGAACACTTTTTGTAAATGTTCAAGCCTCAAATCAAAAGTAAATCTGAAGATTCAAAATTAACCCAATTAGTAGGTGCCCTGATGGTGTACAATGTTTTTAAGTAATCAATAAATGATACAATGCATTGTTTAAGGTATAGTATTACTACTTTGATGGAATTTAAAAAGTTTTACTTTATATATGAATTTTAAACTGTAAACAACCCATCTTAAAATATCCATTAAAATAAATTTTGAAATAAAATTTATATAGCTCCTGCAGTTGTACATGTTATATCTAAGTTTATGCTGAAACAAATAAAACTCATTATTTAATTTCTGTAGTGCATATTGGTGTACAGAAGATATATTAATACTAGAAATAAATGACCTTATAACACCAAAATGTTGTTTTAGTTTGTGCATTTGTGAATGCTCCTGAAAAAGCTGTAAAGTGAAATGTTGAGTGCCTAATTAAGTAAAAAAACAACATTCTGGTGTTATGAGGTCGTTTATTTCTAGTATATAAGAAATAAAACTATATTTTCATTGAAAATCATACATAATAAAATGTTAACTACAAAAATGACTGCTTAAGAATGACACTATATGTAGGGATATATTAAGCCAAATACTTGATGCATGTGTTTAAACTCCTCTGGAATAGCAAAAGCAGTAAACTCTGTCTTATCAAGAACACCATCTCCATTCAAGTCTGCTGCTTTAAACAGCATTCGATCTTCTTTTATCATCTGAAATAGACAAGTTCTATTATAACTATTCTGTTTGTTTTAAAAATTATTTTTAGCATTTATCTTATGGCTTATTCTAGTTTTTAAGTAAAATGTACACTGTTACACAAAAGAAAAATATGTGATATTACAGCATCACAATAAATACATAATTGTTCTCCAATACTTGCATTTTAAAACAACGTCTTCCTGTTTGTACAATAAAAAATGCAACATATGTAAAGAGAATAATTATATGTTACAAATAAAAAAAATCATTAATTATGACTAATAATGCTTGACCCACTATGTTAGTGTCAACATATTAATTTACATGACCATAAAATTTGGTGAGTAAATCACTGAGGGTAGACATAAAAAACAAGACATCACTATTAGCAACAATGCATAATGTAAGCTATCCAAATGTAGTTGCACAAAGCATAATGCTTTGCTCATGATAAAACCCAGAACTTTTCAATATATTTCTGTTGTGTTCTGTACATACTTGCTTGTGTTGAATGCAAGAAAATTTGATTATTCAGGACTCAAACTTATGAAACAGCTACAGAAAAACTTAAATTCTCCAATAATGTAGCACTCAACACATTCAGGATGAATGAGGATGCATATTCGTTTGACATCAATGTTCTTCCCTTTTCTTCAGTTTGTTTGTATTTTTGTTAACAAATATAACAATAAAAAATGTTCATTTTGGTAAATGAAATAATAATTTGATCTAAGTTTTTTCTTCCTTATGTGATAGAAAAAAAGAATATTATTTTCAAAATCTACATAGCTGAATTCGGAAAATCTGTTATTAAAACCTGTTATTTAAATTCACATTTATGTCTGCGGACTTACAACGCTAGAAACCGGGTTTCGATACCTGTGGTGGGCAGAGCACAGATAGCCCATTGTGGAGCTTTGTGCTTAACTTCAAAACAAACAGTAACCAATCTGACAGAATACTTGTCTAATCTTGAATAATCTTCAAGGTACAAGACCAAAAATAAAAAGCAGGTACTGAAATAAATAAATAAAATCAAACACTTTCAAGAAAACAAATAATGATAATCCAGCTATTAAGAAATTTGCCTAAATGACCTCAGTGAGTGATTTTGAACAATAACAAGTTTCAGGCTAAAAGGAAAAGAGAGGAAAATCTGGAGAACAGAATTAATCAGACTTGAGAAGAATTTTTTTTTCCTTAAATGATGCCCATACATGTACAATGCTGAGAATCTGAAATCAAAAAGTGTTAACACTCTTAATAAGAAATTTATTGAGAAAAAGTTTAAGTATGAGAATATAAAAAGATGAAATATTGGTTTCTTAGTAATTCAGGTTTCTCCATACTATAACTATACTATTTATCAATATCTGAGGAGTATGAGAAGCATACAGAGAAGCTACAAAGTAAGTTAGTCTAGTAAAAGTATGAACCACAACCTGGAAAACAAAGTATATGACTAAATAAAAGTTTTTATCCATTAAAAGAGCAACAATTCAGGCCAATCAGGGCAATTCCAAGCACATAAGAAAAAAATCATGATGAATAGAAAGCAATTTGTGCTACCTATTAAAAAGTTAATATATATATATATGTATAGATAGATAGATATAAAAGACAGTAAAGCTACTACTTTAATGTAGCCTATCAAAAATAGCTTGTTAAATTGAGAAATTTTTATATATATCCCACAGAACATGTATATACATATGGACACTTCTTGTCACATAAAGCTTAAACAAAAGGGAATCCTCAATAGCCGCAGCACTTGAGATTCTTTTAGGCAAGATTAGAGTAAATTAATCTATAAGACCTGTTTTGTTTACCTTTTTATTAGCTATATTTTTGTGTGCTAGCAATACGAAGTGTGGGGGGTGCATATACCTGATTCAGTTTTATTACTCATCAAGATCTCTACCAACCTACCCTCAAATTGAAATTCATCTAGTCACGATTAGAGTAAAGTAATCTACGAGACCTTGGATTTGACCTCCTGAGTCCAAAACTGTAATTAGATCTCAAATCGGCCAAGAGATGACGGAGCTATGAGCTAAAAGTTTATACTTTTAAAAAAATACTTGGATCCGCTATTCCATGAGCCACTATGCCGCAGCTAAAAAAACCCTGAAGACATGAGCTCACCTCATAAAATACTGTACAGTAACTGACTGGAAAAGGGCTTTGGAATTAGTTCAGTGACAGATAAAATTACATATTTGTGAAAGACAAACTTTCCAGTCAATATTATTACTTTGTTGTGTTTTAGTTAAACTTTTAATTATGCTTGAAATATTGATATATGTTGATGTATACAAGAGACTTCTCATAAAAAAGAACCTGGTTTTCTTCAATAGTTCCAAGATGATCAGAAAACTCTTCATCTTCAGTTTCTAAGTCAATTCCAAAAGCTTCAGCTATATGCTCTTTCCATGTAACTTTTCCATCCTCATTTTTATCTTCTTCTTCCATTCGTTCTTGTCCTTCTTCTTCTGTTAACATTCTACATAAGAGCTATTTTTTATCTCTATACATATATTTTGAGTTATTTTGGATGACCATCTATCTGCATGAATTTCAGAATACATTTAAAGCAAATTATATTTTTTCTAATTATTATTGTATTACAGTTCTTTTTCTATGTAAAGAATACTTTTTTTAAAGATTTTTATTGACTTTCATGAAATGATAACCTGCACAGCACTTTGCAGCTTAAAAAACAATACACTGCAACATATTTACAATCTGAAGTAAAACAAATACTGTTTATTCTCAATATACATAAAGCTCACAAAGAAATGCTCAACAATAATACTATTTGAAATGTTCCCATTCACTACAATAAACATTGCCAGGTCAGGACTCAATCAAGTTTATGTCAGGGAATATTTTGTGATACACTGAAATCTAAGGTGCAAGACCATAGAGTTACAAACAGTGTATAAAAAAAGTCAACGAGTTTTTCAGAGTAAATAAGAGAAGCTGTAATTTAATGTTTCTTCACATTAAATAAAAGATTTCTAAATCTTTAAAGTAATATATATTTCTTTCTTATCATTTCTGACTTATAGTTTTAAAAACCTGTATTCTTGAAATTTCTGAATAATAAATCTTGCAACATAAAGTTATTATTTTCCTACACTGAAAATATATTTCAGATAGGTACTTACTTAATAGCTTCTCTTGTTCTGTGCTGATCTCTATATGCACAAATGTTTTCACCGGCTACTAGCATTGAAACTCCCACCTACTCCATGTTCAACATGGTTCTATTGCATCTTCACATGCAAATCAGCATGCGTAAACACATCAGAGCAAGACACACTCAACTGATGCAGATTACTCCCTCTATACTATTTAGCCTAACCTTCAAGATTAGGCACTAAAGAAGCACCAGAAGTGGAATGAAAGGGCAGGAAGTGTGATAAGAGGTAATTATCTGTCAGAAATATATTTACAGTGTAGGAAAATATTAACTTTCAATATGGTATCTTACCTCCTCTCACATAATAGCTAGAATGTCATATTGAAAAGTTGGAGGGACTAGTGCAAAAGTTACCTAAAGAAGCATCCTCCAGAAAGCATCCAACAATGTCCATGGAGTGGGACCTCTGATAAGAGAGGAACATATCTGTATGAAACTGCATCACATCCGTATCAGGAATAATCTTTGCCCAATGAGGTAGTAAGTGTCGTATAAATGGGCAGAAATTAGTTAGAGCACATCCATTGATGGATACATGTTGGTTGGTCCAGCTCAACACCTAACACAAACACCCAGGAATCGACATCCAGAAGATGGCAGAATGGAGGGTTCCCATACAAATATAGTAATGGTGTGGAAAATGAAACATATGTGCCCTATAGTGCAGAATGGCTAGGGTGTGTCAGACCATACTCAATGGTTCAACTAAAGTCCAAAACCAGGAGGCATCAAGTATTTATCATCCTTTCCATGGTAGGAAGATGGTTACTACCTTCCTCATCTCAAGCCAATGAGATATAAGGGAATATGTTTCATTCCATCTGAGTAGATAGAGCACATGTGTGCAAATCCTCAACCAACACCAACCACTAGGGAACTCAACATCCGAACAGTGATAGGAAGGGAAGTGTTTATGTGGTGATTCACTCAAATCCAAAAATACCAAGACTTCTAAGTTCCTGGTCCAGCTCCATACCCTATCAGAACATACAAGTCGCAGCCCACAAGTGGTATGCCCGGGGTACCCCAGCCAACCAGAGTACCTGTCAGTCAGTCCAGCTCCTTGCAATACCAAACACCCAAGCCTCAGCTTTATGGAGGAGGTACACCAGGGGGTACCCCAACCAACTAGTACATTGCATCTATGGTAGGACGAGGAATCCAAACCACCACATGCATGAGGACTTATATTGCCTGGTCCAGCTCTAATGCAAAATCTATTGTTTGAGAACCAACATCCAGGTAATGGTAAGATGAAGGGTCCCAACTAGTGGGGGGAACTGCATTATGGTGGATCTACTCTAGTAACTGATTCTGTGGGAGGATCTACACCAGCAGCACACCACCACCCTACTCTCTACTGAATGGGATTGAGCATATTCAGTAACAAGCCACCACCCCAGCAGCTAGGGACTGGTAAGTAGTAAGGACCCTTATTTTGAAAAGCAGACCAGACTACCCCTGATTTATTCCATCAAAGGAAAATCCCCTTCTGCATTAATCATGATAGTCCACGAGTCAGTACAGTCTGGTATGGGCATAATTATGAAGCAATATACCACGAGGAGAGCCTACTAGTGGACAAGATATTGGGTAGGTACAAGCAAGGACTTCTCCACCTTGATGATCCAACCAATACGAGCTACTTCTCTCAGAAGAAACTGTGTGTGTTTGTGTGGTATAGGTTCTGATGGAGCCAGCAGGAGTCAGTTGTCTATATAATGATACAAGCCCCAACCATTCGACAAAACTCATAAAGTGCCATGGCCAGCGTGAAGGGCAAAACACAAAATTGGTAAATCTGACCCCTGTGAACAAACTGAAGATACTATCTGGACTGTGGGGCAATGGGGATGTGGAGGTAAGCATCCAAGACATCTACTTTGGTCATCCACTGGGAGTAAATGCCCACTGTAGAGTGAGAAAAGACTCCATGGTAAAACAGGGAAGGTCTAAGAAATGATTGAACCAAGAGACATCTATCATTGGATGCCAGTCCCTTGTCTTTCTGGGAACTACACCCAACCTGGAGAGGCCTAACTGACTGGTTCTATAGCATTCTTGAGTAGAAAAGTCTGGACCACCTCAGAGAGATGCAAGCATGTTGTGGGATCCCAAGGAGAGTGAAAGGACACAGGAACTGGTGACAACAGTAGGGGAAAGGAAGTGGATGAAGAGTCCTTTGGACAGCACCTGAAAAACCAAAGAATTGGAAGTGAACTCCAGCTATAGGTTAACAAGGTTTGGATAGGTGTGCACCTACCCTGCCAGAACCCACCTACTGTGTTTCTACAGTGAAAAATTCAACAACTCACCATTGAAACCCTGAAAAGAGGAAAGGGTAAAGGTTGAGAAGGTGTGAGACGAGAAACAGGAGTGGGAGCAGGGGTAGATGAAGGTTGAGACAAACTGGAAACCAAAGAAAAAAATGGAGGAATGTTGTCATGCAGACTCCACCCACAACTCCTGAGACATCTCCATAAAAATGGTGCCATTCTCAGGTTGCACAGATAGGTAATGGGTAGGTGCAGCTGAGACAAAAATGCATCCCTACCTAGAAGATTCCAGTAGCATGTTTGGAGGGAAATGACTCAAGAGGATAAAACACGCCAACATGGAAAATATGTGGGTATCTTCCAAAAACTCCACAGAGGATCTGTGGATAGCCTTGGCTAGGAGGAGCATGGTAGACATGTACCTAAGGAGAGAGAGGTTATGGTCAGCCAGATTCTGGAAAATTCTGGAGAATTAATTACTCTATTTACCTAAGACACACAGCTGACATTGTCTTTATTTGCTATAATATTCTGTTTCATTGTAAAAAATAAATTTTGACTTACTGATGATAAGCCACATTCCTAGTAGGTGATAGACCAACTTACTTGAATGACCTCTGAATCCACTGTGTAAGTTCTTTCTTATCAACAAGCCCATCTTGATCTCTGTCCATCTTATTAACTA